GACCAGGATGGTCTCGATCTCTTGACCTCGTGATCCACCCGCCTTGGCCTCCCAAAGTGCTGGGATTACAGGCTTGAGCCACTGCGCCCGGCCAATTTTTGTATTTTTAATAGAGATGAGGTTTTTCCATGTTGCCCAGGCTGGTCTTGAATTGCTGGGCTCAACCAATCCACCTGCCTCAGCTTCCCCAAGTGCTGGAATTATAGGCATGAGCCACCATGCCTGGCCAGGAGTGGTTTTTGATTGCCATGGAGAAGGCTGGGCAATCAGCAGGTTTTGGGAAGGGGCAGGAATTAAGAGTCTAATTGTGTACATGTTAAGGTAGGGAGTTGATATGTAAATTTTGACTTGAGGAGAGAGATCTGAGAATATCTCCAGATATTCAACTGGAATTATCTGCAGATTGATAGTACTTAAAATCATGAGGCTAAACAATGTTGCCACAGAGTGAGTATAAATAGAATAAAGGAGAAGTTGGAGAACTAATGCCTGGATCACTCTAACTTTTAAAGATTAGGGGGATGAAGAAGGACTCACAAAGGTGACAAAGATTGGTAGTGAGTTTAGTAGAAAAGTGACCAAAAGTGCTGTTAGAGAAACCAAGTAAGAACATGTATCAAGGATGTAGTAATCACCTCTCAAATACTACTGAGAGTTCAACTAAGATGAGGACTGGGAATTCGTGACGTAAAGATCAACAATGACCTTGAAAATGTAGTTCTTATAAAATAATAGAGATAAAAGCTTCTTTGGAGTAGATTAAAGAGGAGAGAATGGCAGGAAAAGATGCAAAGGCTGCCAGCAGGGACAATTATTTTAAGATGGTCTCTGTAAAAATAGGGGGAAGAAATAATAGCATAATTGATGTTGATGAGATTCATCCAGTGGAGAGATAAATTGATGATGTAAGAGCTAAAAGGAGAAATTGCTGGAGCAACGTTTTTTAATGAAGGGAGAAGAGATTGGAATCAAGTACAAAACTGGAGAGGTTGGCCTTAGGAGCACAGACATTCTATTTATTGCCATAAGCGTGAAGGCAGAGTATATGGGTACAGATGTCAGTAAATGTGATGTTGAGAGTCTGTGGAGGTTCATTGCACAGCATCAGTTAAGAGTGAAAATGGGCATTGGCAAATGGAAAAAAGGTGTTTGAGATTTAAGGAAAAGACAGAAAATCTAAGAGTGAGGTCCAGGAGAATGAGAAAGTCAGTGGACAAAGGAAATATTCTTGAGCTAGAAAGCAAGGTGGGAAAGTGACAAGTCATGTTTGTCCCTTCTTGCTCCTCAAACATGCTAAACTTTTTCCATTCTCAGGGCCTTTGCATTTTCTGTTCCCTCTGTCTGGAAATCTCTTCTCTCAGAGCTCCATCAGCTGGCCTCTTATCATCATTTGGGTCTCAAGTCCTCAAAGATTATTTCTCTGACCACCACAGCTAATGTAACACTCTACCATATTACTCTATCATATTATTATCTCTACCATATTATTCTATTCTATCTTCTGAATCATACCATTGAGATTACCTTATTTAGCTTTGTACTAACTCATCTCTTGCCCTTTCCAATACAATATAAGCTCCTACTATCTGGCACTCCAATGTGCTACTTGACTGCTCAACTTCCCTCTATTCCCCTAAACATAAAATTTTCCCGCTTTGCCCTCTGGATCCACAGTATCATGAAAACCAGTCCTCCCCAAATTCTCAACCTCTTTACCACTAACTCACTTCTTCCTGCTGCCTCTCTTAAAGTTCTCTGATGAGACTAAGGTTTTTCCCTCCAGCTCATAAGGTTGATAGGTGAGGCTGACTTTCTTCCTGCTCCCCACTGCTCTTTCTTGACCCTGATTCCTCTACCCTCTTGTAAACCTCTCTTCTCTCTATCTCACCAGAGTAAGAGTTTCAAGCCACCTTGATTTTTCATCCTCTCATTGTTGGTGTCATCATCTGGCAAAGTCAAATGTCACAAGAGCAGAGCAAAGGAGTAACCAATGAATTCATACCTGTTTCTTAGAACATGCAGGGAGCTACTCATTCCATAATCCCAGAGCCGCTCCACTGCAGCAATAAAATAGTGTCGTGTTTTCTTTTGAAAGTTGCGGGGGCTCTGATTTTCATCCTCACCATAAATGTCAAAATCTTCCTTCTTCATTTCAATTGAGATGGTATCATCATAGTCAATTTCCTCTTGATCTGACTGAAGAGTAGTAAGCATTATTTCCCTTTGATGGCGTTTCAAGACTGGTGGGTTTTGAGAGCACAGCCTTTCAGTCTCACTTTGCTTTGCCCTGGTGACTTCTATTTGGGGCTTATTTTGTCCCTCATTTATTGCTGCTATTGCATGACTGCTTTCACAGGGGTTCAGGGACAAAATGGTATCCTTTTTCTTAAAAGCAGTGTTTTCTGCTGACTTATCTTGGGATTTCCACTCATCTTTTGATATTTGAATACCATAGTAGTTATCCCAAGCAAGAGGACCCAATAACTTGGAGGGAGTCTTTGCAGAGCTTTCTGTTGCTCCTCTGAGAAAGGGAATTTTTCCAGGTCTGTTTGCTTCATTCCACTGAATCGCTCCTTCTGTTTCCTGAAGAAGGCTCCCTTCCATGAGATCTAGATGGCCAGGAGACCTATTAGTAGTTTCTGTAGGCAAAAGGTCTTTCTGATAAATGCGAACTTTTGGAAGCAATTCAACTTTGCCAGATGTTTCGGGCAAGCCTGATTTCAAGAGAATAGTTTTCTCAAGTTTCTCGTACATGACTGAATTTGTGGCACTTGTCTCCAGGGAGCCAACCTCTCTTTGATCACCAATCATCTCCAAGGTTAGAATGGCTAAAGAAAGGTTATTTTCTTTGGCTCCTTGTAAGAAACGACTGCTTTCTTGGACCCCAGAAATTTTCTTTCTATAAGATGGTGCTAGAAGATGAGAAGAGTTGTTTTGGAATGGGACCCTGCTCAGATCTTTAGGATTAATAGATGGAAATAATGATACCTTTGCAATGGGTAATGGAGATCTATTTGCTTGAGTGATGCTATGATTCCTCGTAAGACAATCTGATAAGGGAGACTGAGTAATGGCCCCTTTGTCTTTTTCATTGACGTCTATCTTTGTGAGTGTGCTCGGGGTCAAATGTTTCATGTTTTCAGACCATCGGATTGAGGTGTCATCCACAATTAGCCTCTTTTCAAGTTCTGTTTCTTCTACTGGGAGTCTGAATTGTTTCAAAGCTCTCTTACCACGTTGAGTGACAACATTCTGCTGGCTTGGATTAGGAAATAGCCTTGTGGTATGCGGAGATTTCTCTACCATTTGCTTGGTTTGATTTCCCAAGCTTTCCAAGTTTTCTTCCTCTCTTTTTTTTGAGAAATGAGCCTTGTGTTTCTTTGTTCTATTTGTCGAATCATTTAATGACCTAAAATCTTGAAGTACTGGAGCATATGCCCCCTCATATGAACCTTCTACATGTTGTCTAGTGCTTAGTAAGAAAAGGTTCTTCATGAAATTCTTAGTGCCAGTCACCGTATGTATCTGAGGCAAAACTACATCCTCTTGGATTAATGTTTCCTCCCTTTCTACTTCTTCCTGAATATTTTTTTCTTGATTGCGTGTATTATTTTCATGTAAATTATCCAAGTTAGTAAGAAATAGGTTTCTGCTGCTTGGAAAAATTATCTCTTTGAGTCCTGTGTCCTTTGTAAATTCGTCCTTTCCTACTACCACTTCATTTTTCTCAGACAAAAAATTCTGACTTTCCACAGATTTTTCTGGTCCTAAGGATACTAATTGCTTTGGACTAGGGCCTTGCCCAGAGTTCAGGGAGTTATTTCCATGACTCCTTTGTATCCAATTTGCTGATTTTGACAAGAATAGCATTTTAAAGAATGGCATATTTGGATTTTCTGCATCTGGTGGCATGGGTCCCTCTTTTTTTTGGTGGACCATTTCCATGTTTTCTGATGAAGTAGTTTTATTTGACATATGATTTAGCCTCAAATCTGTAGTATTTTTGTCTGTAAGCATTCTGTCATGAATCAAAGGTGTCACTTTTTGAAACTCAGTATCACTTTCTAATATATTTTGCCAGACTGATGTACTATTCTCAATTAATAATGTTGGGCCATTAGTGTGAGTCTTTCTATTAGTTGCTGAATTATTGGAAGATTCTTTTGTCTTTAACAAGGAGATACCAACTTTGAATAAGGCATTATCTTTAGTCAACAAAGCAGGTCCATGGGCTCTTTTCTCTTTTAATAACCTACCAGTTTCTGTTGATATTACATTTTTTCCCAATGAGCTTTCTTGGCTATCCATTAAACCTGATTCTAACAACTTTGAATCACTATTTTCTTCACTCAAGCTCAGAGGTACACCAGACTCAATAATGGGAGATGACTTTTTGCCAAATAGAGTGGTGTCTAACTGACTATCAGAATGAACTGGCATATTTTGGGATCCTAAGGAACTTGTATTATCAGTACCTACTGCCAAATTGTCTGATGGAATTGTTGAAGTCAGATTATTTGATGAACTAGAAATTTTAAAATCAAGTTTCTTCAACTCTGTTGCCATAGTTGTCCCCAGTTTCTCATTTAATCTTAATTGGAGGCCTGGTTCTGGGGTAAATACCATGTCCCCACTGTGATGGAGCCGTGGACTGAGGTGTGTCATTTCAGATGGGCTGTCATTACTGTCTATTGCTCCAGGTGATGGATCATCAGAAAAAGTCTCATATTTGGCTTCTTGGAGATGAGGTAAGGATAGCCCATGTGGAGTAGGGCTCTGTCGCAAAAGCATCAGCAAATCACTAGAGGAGACATTTTGTACTTTAGGCATATGTGTTCTGTGTCCAAACCAAGGGTCAGTCTTCTCTATGTCATTTTCTGGAATTGTGGTGGCATTAAATTGCTTTTGCTTAGTGCTAGGGTGTCTTGAATTCTGGGAGAAGCTTCTTGGTTCAATGCCATTGTTTTCACTCAGCAAGTATGTTGAAATATCTTCATAAGTGTCCTCATAATAATCACCAGTGTTCTTGTCACAACTAGAAACCTTCAGTAAGGCAGTCATGCCTCTGTTCCGAAAGTCTGAGTTGTGGCACCCCAGGATCCATAGGCCTAGATATGAGGAACAATAAGACCCTGGGTTACTCATAATAAGAATTCTAAGAAAGTTCTGTTAAATGTTCTCTCCCATTCCCAGATAAATGAAAAAATACTAGTCAGTATTATTATATCACAGGTCATTGGGTTAAATCCCTGGCATATGTAATATAAAAGTGATTTTTGCATTGCTGCTGTTGTGCTACGCCTGTTTGTGACCATAAGAAAGGACTGTGATATGGTTAGCAATGTGCAGAAAGCAGAAACTGGACCCCTACCCGTCACCTTACACTAAAATTAACTCCAGATGGATCAAAGATTTAAACATAAAGCTGAACACCATAAAAACACTAGAAGAAAATATAGGCAAAACCACCCAGGACATAAGCATAGGCAAGGACTTCATGACTAAAACACCAAAAGCAATGGCAATAAAAGCCAAGATAGACAAATGGGATCTAATTAAACTCCAGAGCTTCTGTACAGCAAAATAAACCATCATTAGAGTGAATTGGCAACTAACAGAATGGGAAAAAATTTTTGCTATCTACCCATCTGACAAAGGGCTAATATCCAGAATCTACAAGGAACTAAAACAGATATACAAGAGAAAAACAAACAACCCCATTCAAAAGTGGGCAAAGGATATGAACAGACACTTTACAAAAGAAGACATATATGAGGCCAATAAAACATATGAAAAAATGCCCATCATCACTGGTCATTAGAGAAATGCAAATCAAAACCACACTGAGATATTGTCTCATGCTGGTTAGAATGGCGATCATTAAAAAATCTGGAGACAACCGATGCTGGAGAGGACGTGGAGAAATAGGAACACTCTTACACAGTTGGTGGGAGTGTAAATTAGTTCAGCCATTGTGGAAGACAGTGTGGCAATTTCTCAAGGATCTAGAAATAGAAATTCCATTTCACCCAGCAATCCCATTACTGGGTATATACCCAAAGAACTATAAATTGTTCTACTATAAAGACACATGCACATGTATGTTCATTGCAGCCCTGTGTACAATAGCAAAGACCTGGAACCAACCCAAATGCCCATCAATGATAGACTGAACAAAGAAAATGTGGTACATATACACCATGGAATACTACACAGCCATAAAAAACGATGAGTTCGTGTCCTTTGTGGGGACTTGGATGAATCTGGAAACCATCATTCTCAGCAAACTGACCCAAGAACAGAAAGCCAAACACCATATGTTCTCACTCATAGGTGGGTGTTGAACAATGAGAACACATGGACTCAGAGAGAGGAGCATCACACACTGGGGGCAGTTTTGAGGGTAGGGGAGAGACAATAGGGGGTGGGGAGAGAGGGGAGGGTGGGGAGGGATAACATGGGGAGAAATGCCAGATATAGTATACACCTAAAGTAAAATAAATAAATAATAATAAAAAAAGACAAGACTGTGATAAAAATGAATAGATATTGGGATTAAAATGGGGAAATAGAATTAATATACACAATAGTGGAGGGTCTTAATAATCACAGAGAAGTCTCTGAAGATGACAGTGATTTAATTCAAGAAAGTATTTATATTACCTAGATGTTATTGCTATATCACATAGTGGCACAGGTTCCTCTTGAACCCATCAGATTGCCTGGATTCAAATCCCAGTTTTACCATTTACCAGCTGTGTGACTCTGAGAAAGTCTCTTAAGTTTTCTGAATAATAGGTTTCTAATTTGCAAATAAGACTGATAGTATCTACCCCCTGAGATAATGCATTGAAATCACATAACACAATACCTAGCATCCACGGTCACCCATTTGCAGAATAAGTAAGCACAAGGAAAGAGCATTTAGGTCTAGGATCCACCTAATACAAAATTCTACCATGGTACTAGCGATATTAATTTCTACCACGATCATGATTACCTGAGTGAAGGAATGCAATAAATGATAATAGGCTAATTCCATGGTGATAAAGTAGATGCATAAACGTAAGAGACAAGATACAACTTTACGAAGCTACCCGTTGGGTACCTCAACAGCCTTATCATTTCACACAGTCTTTGCAGGAAAGATCTTAATTTTATCTAGCTTCTCCTCAAGGGAAGCTGCTCCCAAAAGCCCTGTGAATGGTTACATTCTATGTGTAGCCGAATTATCAATCAAGTGGGAAAGGAGAATAAAAACATTTTCTAACATACAAGGACTCAGAAAATCTACTTCAAACGTAACCATTCTCAAGAAGTGATTATAGGATGCTTGCCACCAAAATAAAGGAGTATATCAAACAAGAGTAAGACATGGTATCCAAGAACCTGGTACCTATCCTGAGGGAGGGTAAATAAAAATCCCAAGTTGATAACTGAGCCTCAGGCCTAGAGAGAACCAGCTCAGACTGGAGCAGGAGGATGCATGCCTCCAGGAGGTCAATCTGTAAGCAAAAAGGAATATATTATATAATGGAACTCCTGAAAAAAAGAAGATAATTCAAAGGAAGACATAAGAAAAACAGGAAAACAATTAGAGATCCTGGTTAAGCTAGCTAAAAAATTGACTTTTATTTAACCTTCCCTCTAAGAGGGGCCTGGTGTTAGGAATGATGATCAAGTTGGAGTTTAGATTTATCGACTTGGTTACAATTTCGTAATGAAAATATCTTTTTGTGACCAACAGTAAATTTAAAACATTATAATTAATTTATAAATCTCAATTCAAGAGCTTCAAGAAGAGTTGGTTGTTTGACGAAAAAGTCAATAAAATAAATAACCAAACAAAATTTAAGAAATTTCACATATACAAAATTTGAAATAAGAAGAGTCATAATTATAGACACAAATAAAATGAAAATAATTATAATTCCCTTGGAGACACCTCAGCTGTCAATCTCCTCCTCCAGCTTCTTACACAGGTATAAGCTACATGGGCAAGTTTGGGGTCTAGTCAGCACTAAAAATATATAGAGCAGTCTCCTGCCTCTGTAATCAAACCAAGGCTTTCAGTGAACTAATTAATTCTGTAAGCTATTATCCGATCTTGGAACTAGTTACTACCAAAGTAACTCAGAGCCAAGTTGATCACAACCTGCACAGACAGTAAATGAAGTAAGAAGAAAGAGGCCATCACAGAAGACATATAAAAGCCCAGCAGAAACTAGATATTGGACTGGGGTTAGTTTATCTTAACTTTTCGTCTAGCTGTTGAGTTGAGAAGGGAATTCAACATCAATTAAGTGGACAGAGAGTTAAGATAAGAACAAGTCACTTATCCTCTCTGCTAGCAAACCTTGATCAGAACATATTTGTACCTTGTTTAAGGACAAGAGAATACATGCAATCTACAAAGATACAGAACAGGAAGAAGGAAACAGAAGTCAGGAAACTCAGAGGAAATACCCACTTCTGAAAGTAATCCACTGCAGATTCTAGAGGAAAAGTAAGAACAAATATCTTGCAATACTAAAACACAAGAAGCTATGTCTTTGTGGTTTTAAATTATGGAAGACACATTAACAAGCAAAAAAAAAATTTTTTTTAATGAGCATAAGACATGAACCGACACTTCTCAAAGAAGATATGCACGTGGCTCAACATCACTAATCATTTAAGAAATGCAAATGAAAACTACAATTAGATATCATCTCACACCAGTCAGAATACCTGATATTACAACGTCAAAAAATAACAGATGCTGGTGAGGTTTTGGAGAAAAGGGAACATTTATACACTGCTGGTGGGAATATAAATTAATTCAGCCACTGTGGGAAACAGTGTGGAGATTTCTCGGATAACTTAAAAGATAACTACCATTTGACCGAGCAATCTCATTACCAGTTATATGCCCAGAGGAATATGAATCATTCTACCATAAAGACACATGCATGTATATGTTCATTACAGCACTATTCACCCTACTAGCAAAGACATGGATTCAACCTAAATTCCCATCAATGGTGAACTACATCTATTGTGATATATATATACCATGGAATATTACACAGCCACAAAAAATAAGAACATGTCCTTTACAAAACATGGATGGAGTTGGAGACCATTATCCTAAGTGAATTAATGCAGGAACAGAAAACCAAATACTGCATGATCCCACTTATAAGTGAGTGCTAAACATTGAGTACACATGGACACAAACTCCTCAAAATAAATATGGGGCCTACTTGAGGGTTGAGGGGTGAGGATGAAAAAACTACCTATTGGGTACTATGCTTATTAACTGGGTGACAAAATAATCTGTACACCAAAACCCCACAAAATGCAATTTATCCATGTATCAAACCTGCACATGTACCCCCTGAAGCTAAAATAAAGTTGGAAAGTAAAAAAGAGAAAGAATGACAGAATTTTCCAAACCTGGAGAAAGATATGAATATCCAGGCACAAGAAGTTCAAAGAACACTAAGAAGATTCAACCCAAATAAGACTACCTCAAAGCATATAATAACGAAATCTTAAAGGTCAAAAAATGTGATTAAAGGCAGCAAGGGAAAAGAAGCAAATAACTCATAAAGGAACTCCAATATGTCTAGCAACAGACATAATAACAGAAACCTTACAGGCCAGTGGGTAAATTGAATGACCTATTCAAAATGCTGAAGGGAAAAGACCCCCAAACTAGAATATTATGTCCAGAAAAGTAATTCTTCAAACATTAAGGAGAAATAAAGACTTTTCCAGACAAATAAAAGCTAAGGAATTTTGTCAACACTGGACCTATCTTTTAAGAAATGGAATTCTTTAGTCTGAAAGAAAAGGATGGTAAAGAGCAAGAGGAAATGATTTACAGGCACAAAACTCACTGGAAATAGTAAATTTCCACACAGACAAATGCAGAATATGCTAGCACTGTAATTGCATTATGTAAAATACTCTTGTCTTCAGTATGAAGACTAAAAGAAAAGCCTAAGAAAAATAAGAGTAACTATAATACAAAAATTTGTTAAGAGATAGACAATGTAAAAAGGCATAAATTGAAATAACAAAAAGTCAAAAAGAGGCAGGGGATGGACTTCAAAAGAAAGTT